ATTTCTATGTACATTGAGAAGGATATCAGTGTTACAATTTTTGCTATAACTGCCAAACATAATTTAGAAAACTCAAGAGGAGAAGGAAAGTAATTATGCTTATTTTTGCTCTTGCTGTGTTTCTTCCCTCCTGATGTTCCAAGATTCCTTCTTCTTTTTTGTCTTTAGTTTTTTTAATGTTTTTTTATTTTTGAGAGAGGGAGAGACAGAGCACAGGTGGGGGAGAGGCAGAGAGAGAGAGAGGGAGACAGAATCTGAAACAGGCTCCAGGCTCTGAGCTGTCAGCACAGAGCCCGATGCGGGACTCGAACTTGGGAACGGCAAGATCATGACCTGAGCCGAAGTCAGAGGCTTAACTGGCTGAGCCACCCAGGCGCCTCCCAAGATTCCTACTTTTATAATTTCCTCTCCATTTAGAAAACTTTCCGAGCCATTTTTTAAGAGTTGGTATGCTGATGACAAATTCTGTTAGCTTTTGTTTACGAATGTCTTGATTTGCTCTGCATTTTTGGGGATATTTGGGCTGAATTTAGAATTCCGAGTGGACAGTTCTCAACACTTGAAAAATGTACCATTTCTTTCTGGGTGCCCTGATTTCTGATGAGAAATTTGTTGGAGGCTTTTAGAATTTTTTCTCTGGTCTTCAGTTTTTAGAAGTTTGGCTGTAATGTATCTTGGCATGGATTTCTTTGGGTTTATCCTGTTTGGGGTTTGTTCAGTGTTGAATCTGTAGGCTTATTTCTTTTTTAGTCAAATTTGGCAGATTTTTAGCCATTATTTCTTTGAATACTTTTTCCTTTTTCCTCTCCTTCTGGGACTTGGAATGCATGAATGTTAGCGCTTTTATTATATATCCTACATGTCCCTGAGGCCCAGTTCATTTGCTTTTCAATCTGTTTTCTTTGTTGTTCAGGCTGGGTAACTTCTATTGTTATATCTTCAAGATCAGTGATTCTTTTCTCTGTCCTTTCCTGCTGTTGAACTAATCCACCGAGATTTTTATTTCAGGTATTGTATATTTTTAGTTCCAAAATTTCCATGCAGTTTTGTCTCTGTCTTCTATCCTTGCTTTCACTTTGTGCTTCTTTGCTGAGACTTTCTTGTATTTTCCATTGTTTCAAGTGTGTTTGTAGATTGACGCATCGTATGATTGCTCCTAAAATCTTGCTTAATAATTCTGTTATCTGTGTCGTCTTGGGGTGCGCATCTGTTGATTGTCTTTTCTCATTTCGGTTGAGATATTTCTGGTTCTTGCTGTGGTGAGGGATTGTTTTTATTGAAACCTGGAAATTTAAAAAATTTTTTAAAAAATGTTTATTTTTTTGGTGGGGGGAGGGGCAGAGAGATTAGAAGGAGACACAGAATCCGAAGCAGTCTCCATGCTTTGAGCTGTCAGCACAGAGCCCGACGTGGGGCTCGAACTCATGAACCATATGAACCGTGAGATCATGACCTGAGCTGAAGTCGGAAGCTTAACCAACTGAGTCACCCAGGCGCCCCTAAACCTGGACATTTTAGATAGTCTTAGATTCTGGATCTTGTTTAAATCTGATGTTTCAGCAGGTTATTTCTGATACAGCTCCAGTAAGGAAAGGGGGATGCCCCTTGTTAATGCCAGTTTGGGGTTGAAGTTCAAGGTCTCCTCTTGGCCTTTGTTGACACTGGGTGGGGGAAGGCTCCATGTTACTGCTCGTTGTGGGTGGGAGTTCAGCCTCCGCATTAGGCCTAAGCAAGTAGCCTTCTGGCCGGGAGGGACAGGGGTGCCTTGTTACTGCTGGTGATGGTGGCAGTCCTGACTTGCTACTCGGCCTCCTGTGACGAAAGCCCAGTGTGAGAGCAGAGGGGACAGATTGATCCCGCTGGGTGGGGTGGACGTTCAGCTTTCGCACTGAGGAGGAGGGGTGGTTTTCCTGAGGTGTTTGACTGGAGTTAAGCAGGTATTGTTTAGACTGCCCCCTTTATCTTCTTTGGTTGCAGGTAGCAGGCTTTTGGGGGTACACCCTTTTTGTTTTGAGCTCATCGGTGTTTCTAGGGTAACCAGTATGGGCTACAGGAGACAAAAAGAAGACCCAGGAGACTCACGGCTGTGTTGTTCCCGGAGTCCTGTGGTCCCCAGCCAATCTGTCCGCTCTTTACCTTCTGGCCTCTGTGTTTCTTTCTTCTAGAAAGTCCCCGGGTTGTGGCTGTACTTAGAGCAGCAGGAAAACTAGGTTAACTCTGTCCTTGCAGAAGCGGAAGCCCAAATTTAATTAACTCTGAGTAGAAAATATATTCGTCTGCCATAGAAGTTAAATGGTATAATAGGACGCAGTGAAAATTAACTCTTTCCCACCCACTTCCCCTCTCCCTGGTTCCTTGTGTTTCCTTCCTGAGATGCTCCGCAAATCCCAGCAGATACACACAGGCATCTGTTTTCACACAGTGGTGGCATCTCACGTACACTGCTCCGCACCTTGTGTTTTTGTCAAGGCGCTACACCTTAGTCATCCTTCTAGATTGGTATATGAACACCCGCTGGCTTCTTTCTCGTGGCCTCCTGATATTCCATCGCGTGGAGATGCCACCTGTGTGTAACCAGTTGGAATGTTTTGCCGCTGACTCCATTATCTGTTCTATTCTTTGTCCTTCCCATCTCAGTGTCACCTGTGTTGACACCTGTTACTGTATGTGGCGGTGGGTTGGAGATCGCTGCTGGGGTGGCACGGACCCTTTCTCTGTGAGGAGTCCTGTAGTCTGTGAAAGCTCATAGATGGTCTTTGATAGCTGCTCTCTTAGGCGCATTTCTCCATCATCTTCATAAGGACCGTGTGGACCACTTCTTGCTTTTCGTAGGCTTACGCAAAAGAGTTTGAAGATAAGCTCTATGTGCCTTTACTCTGTTTCGTGGATTCAGTTGCTTCATGTATAATAGGTAGTAATAGTTAAAAGAAGTATACTTTGTTTTGTTTTTTGTTTTGTTTTGTTTTGTGTTTTTCTTATTTCTCATGGCCACTAAAACATACATCTACCATGATTTGGGGCCAGAGTACTTTGATTACCTTTTTGGGAGGGATAGGATTAACTTGGTTTTCATTTGTGTTTCTGAGTGTGGTAGTGTCACCTCACTAAGTTTAGTATTTTTTCTTCAAGGTGGTGATTTTTCTTTTCTTTCTTTCTTTTTTTTTTTTTTTTTTTTTTTTTTTTTTTTTTTTTTTTTTGAATTAAGTTTATTTGTTTTGAGAGAGTGCATGCATGCAAGTGAGTGGGGGGGAGCAGAGAGACAGAGACAGAGATTCCACACAGGCTCTGTACTAACAGTGCAGAGCCTGATGCAGGGACTCGAGCACACAAACCGTGCAATCATGACCTGAGCCAAAGTTGGATGCTTAACTGACCAAGACACCTAGGCACCCCAGGGTGATGATTTTTCTTCTGGTTAATATGTTGCCCCCAAATTCTTGGCAAAGTTGAATGATGGAATGAATCGTAGAATATTTTTGCCCTGTGTCTTCACAATCTTTTATTTTGACTTGGCAGTTTAATTATAAATTCATGCATAATTAAGTTTGATCTTGCCCAGAGGATAGAATCTGTCACTCACACTGGCACCCTGTGCGAGGACCTTGCGGTCTGCTGCGAGCCGTGCTGCCAGGGGCCCTCTGCGTGCATGACGTGTGCGTCAGATGATCCTGTGTGATGCTTGTCAGTGTGCCATTGAGTGGCCTGCTCAGTTTTTAGAGGTGGTTTTGTTTCTGTAGATTGCTTCAGTTGTTTAGGGCCCAGCAGACTTTTCTGCCCTGTGACCAGCTTCAGGGCTCTGGACATGCTCACCACCTCTGACTGCTTGCTGGGCTTTGTCTCCAGCATTTCCACGCCATACCTGCTCCTTGAATTCTGCAGAAATCCCGTCCCCTAGATTTGTGCCACCTTTTGTAACTGGAAGGCTTTGAGTCTAAGTGTGGCAGTGAGCTGGATGGAGTGAGAAGAGGTGGACTGAGTGACTTCTACTCCGGACTCCTCCTTTTTACCTCTTGCCCCTGTCGCTGCAAGACACCTTTCTCACAAACAGGGTTCACATTCACCCGTGTGACTGTTGCGACCCTTCATTCGTAATGATTTGGGGGTTTCAGATGATCTGCTCTAAAAAATACGTTCATGTGTCTGCTAATTTGTTTTGGGATAAATTTGTTGAAGGTGAGTTTATGGGAGCTCGGAGTATGACCAAGGGTTAGGAGTGTAAATGGAAAATTTTATCTTTGTGAAGCTTCCACATTTCATTAAATATTAAATTCTGTAGTGAAGTTTTATGTGATTTTTACTAAGTATATTCTCAAACGTCATGGTTAACCCCTTATTAAAATGATGTATCAGAAAGCCATTGGCATTTTTACATAATACAGTTGTTTGATTATTATACTTTTCATTTTTGTGATGGATATTAGCCATCAGCCTCCTAGTTGTTTCTTTGAGTGAAGTCAGTTTTTTTCCTATAACAAGATTAAAAGAATATATTTTAAATCTATCTGATGCAGAGTTTTATTTAAAAAAGGACTGGAGAGTGTATAGGTGTTATTTTTCAGTTTACTCTTCTTTTTTGTATTATATGTTTAATTTGTCTCCTATATCGTATTTTCAAATTTGGAACCTATTGATACATACCCCAAGGGCGTTTCATTTGTTGTCTTGTGGGATTTTTCCAGATGAAATTGAGAAATACAGTGATATAGCTTCTGTCAGCATTGAAAGCAGATCAGCTAAGTTCCTTTGTACTATTCTGAAAATAATACTGCAACATAAAAGCTGTTTCTGTATTTTATGTACTCGTTGATAGTGTCTTTTCTATGAACACCCCACCCCATATAAAACCCTGACATTGAAAATACTTGTACATACATGGGGATTATATGATCCTTTCTTGATCATTCAAATAAATATGAATAGTGATGGAAATCTTTGTGCTTTTTTTTTTTTTTTTTTTTT